AAAGGAATAAGGAAGGAGGTAGTACAAGGGATTAAATAGATATATAACAGGTTAACTATAGGATAAAGAGTTTAGGCATTGAAATAAGTGGTTAGATATAGGTATGAGAGGTTGTACATGACTACACATGGTGAAGAATAGCAATACGACTTGATAGATAAAAATGAAGACATAGGGGTAATAGACATGGCTAGTGTTATCTATGTAGGAATCAGTACAGAAATGCTTGATACGAAACCTTTATTACAGCAGTCCAGAAGTGGTTTGATCCGGAAGCTTTTTTGTATGAAACCAAAAAAGATTCAGAGTTTGTATCCTCAAGAAGAACCTTTTAAGATTTTGTGAAAAACATTTCTGTCTTAGAGTGTACGCCCACACTCATCCAATCCACAACCACAATCATAGGCACACTCACACCCAATCCACGCTCACCACTACGACAACAAACGCATCGAAACCCATACCCACACTCATATCTACCTAAGCAGACAAACTTTTGAGAAAACGCGCTTAAACGCACAAAAATTGTTCTAAAATCGGCAAAAGTGGACGTTTTTGGCTCACAGTCGGGAACCGAGAGTGTGAGCCAAAAACATCCATTTTTTGCCCTTTTTGTGCGTTTAAACGCATTTCCAGACAAGAAACGCGTGTACACGCATACAAAAAAGAGAAAAGCGGTCATTTTCTCATATTCAAGATGCATGATCATGATTATAGTCACGTTTCTCGAGTTGGAAAAACACGACAACTTTTTTCTCTTTTCTGTATGCGTGTACACGCTTTTCTTGTCTGAAAACGCGTTTAAGGCCCTTGCTCCGTCGCTCCCCCTTCCCTTTTTCAAAAAAGTCAGTTTTCATCAGAATCCTCCAAATTGAGATAAATGCATGGAGAGATAGCCCATCATTTGCTCTTTCATAAACGATAAAAATTTTTCCTCGGTACTTTGTTTTTCCCAAAAGTTTTTCAAGTTTTCTGAGACCTCCTATTCGAAAAACCAGCGGTTTTTTGAAAAATCAAAAACTCTTTTTCGTTTTTTCTCATTTTTTACTATTTCAAACGCGCATCCAAAACTTCTCTGTCCAAGTCCACTCAATAAATTTAAATTCTTGTTTGTTTGAAAGAGCATGTAAAGATGCAGGGCATGATGAGCCTCGATTTTTTAAATTAGGCCTTTTTTTATTATATATATATAGGTATTTATATAAATTGGCAGCATTTTTTCTAGGGTTTTTTCAGTCATCAAACTTTCGATTCCTTTTTTGAGCTTGAACAGTGGGCATTTAAAAAATTAGGCCTCGTCATGCCCTGCATCTTGACATGCTCTTTCAAACAAAAACAAAATTTAAATATATTGGACGAATCTGGATCGAGAAATTTGGGATGGCAAATCATCTATTTCTCACCATTGCTTATTCAATATCTTCATTAAAAGTCATAATTTCGGGCTGAAAATTTCATCATAGCTTCATCACTTCAGACTCAATATATCCTCGAATTTTGAGGTCATTTGGACGTTCTTGGGCTGAGATCGATTATTGGGGGGGGGGGGGGGGGGGCTTAAACGCACAAAAAGGGCGAAAAATGGATGTTTTTGACTCACAGTTAGGAATCGTGAGTCTGTGTCAAAAAAGTCCACTTTTTGCCGACTTTAGACCAATTTCTGTGCGTTTAAACGCGTTTTCTCAAAAGTTTGTCTACGTGGGTACAGCCATACTCACAGTCCATCCCATGTCAGCATCCACACCCTGGTGTCCGTGTAGGTGTGAGTGACAGTGGCAGTCGGTGTGGTTGCGCATCTTTTCATCAACACGGACACTCACACCCCACATCCACAGCTCAATCAATGTGGGCATCCTACGATAAACAATAAGAAATCTAAATGGAAAACACCGTATGAATCTTAGAACTTTTCTTTTTTAGTGGTTCTTTTCAGAACATGATATTATATTAGTGTGTAGTCTTTAGATTGTAACAACTCCCTATGGAATTTTAATGAACAAATATTAATTTTGCTTTACATTATATAGGTAGCATAAACTATATTGTTTAATTCATTGGTTTTATTCTTCGTGGTGGTATGGTATTATTTTATGTTGGACTTTCTCTTCTTACAATAAATGATTGTTCTAATCAAATAAGATTTGCTTGTTTCTTCTGATGCATATTGATTTCATGGAATTTTATTATGCTAATTGATCGATAGAACCATCAAAGTCTATGATTTGCTTCATTATTTTCTTTTCTAACATACGCTATTTTTCATACAGTAATTATGAAATTGTATTTTCGTATATTTTATTTCTTTGTTTTACTTTTTTTTGAAAAAGAAACTTCAGTTATATCAAATGGTCCAAAAAAGGCATAAACAAATGCGTAAAAAATGTTTCGACTATTATACCTGTTCAAGTTTGATCAAATAAAAATAGATGCTTACATATCCCTGTCAATATGAATGAGTTAGTGTTAATATTATAATGAAAAAAACATTTGTATATTTGGATAGTTTTTTCATCTTATTCATTTCAATCAAATATATACGTTTCAAGAAAAATAATAACTAAGTTAAAACTCCACTTTTGGATGGAATCTCTAGTCAGCTTGAAAGTCCGATTAATTTCAATTCTGAAGAAATGTTGTTGAGAGTCTTTATGAAGAAAAAATCGATGTAGAAGATTCATTAGAAACAATGGAGTCAGTTAACTACATTTGAGTATAAATTATAATTAAAAAAAAAAACTAGAAATCGATCCTCTGAGACATATTCTCTTTAAATAGAAAATTTTCATTTAAGATCAGATTTGTGAAACCTATGCTTTTGTCATCTTATTTAACTATAAGAGGCATATTATGAGTTAACAGTGCTGAAGACAATATTTTGATTATAAAATACTCTCTTTATATCCTAGTTTATTATCCAGTTTTTGATTTGGGCAAAATAGCTACTGTCTACGCAAAAAATTCTGGGATACTCAAGAATGGTTTCCCAAAATTTTATATTTCATTCCCATTAAACTTTGTATATATGGTAAGTGTATATATTCAATAAGCTTTCATATTACACCATGTAGACACAAAACTTCTGGTTTTAATATAAAAAATAAAAAGAAGAAAAATCGTCCAGCAGAAAAAAGGTCCGGAATTGATGTAACAATTAACAAAATAATTATAACACATCTCATGGCTAAACAAAAATCAGTAGTCTATACATTTGTTTTTAACTGCAATACATTTTTGAAATGTCTGTGGCATCGAAAATGCTAGTTTTTCACATGATTCTGGTTTTATTGATAACGATGTAGTTGTTGAAGCATCAGTTAATTCTTTCAGAGACGACATTGATCCGGATTTTGAATTTATCATCAATAATGGACCATAGTTTCTCGGTAGGATTAAGACCAGAGAGTTTCCCTGGCCACTCTAATACATTGACCGATAAGTCACGTAACTTTGTTTGTCTTTATCTCGATGCATGAGGGTGTGGATGGGTCTAGGTCCTGGTCTGGGTGTGTATGCATCTTTTCCTCATCCTCGCACCCACATACACATATACCCACACCGACATCGCGACACCCACACCCAAACCAATTTAGGATATATCACTTCTAGCTACGCCCTATCTAACCATCACATCCTCAGTTGAAAACCTTTTTCTCACCTCAACAGGCTCCCTCGCGTAAGATAGAAAATTAGGACCTTTTTTTAGTTCTTTGTGGACATGGTTTCAGATAATACCTTCTGTGACTTGGCTTTAACTCATCGAGTTCTCCTTAGAAATGTGAGAGTCAATATTTGAAGCGTGATTGAAAAAAACGAATTCTGCCGTGAGAGTTTCTGTATAATGCATTCTCTCGATGAAGAATACAAGACGCAGAACGCCCCATAGCAACAGATAGTCGTACTTTTTATATGCCAACATGAAACAATGATCGAAGCACATGGTATGACATGCCAGGTAAATGGAAGGTATGAGCTTTCTTCTGTTTACTACTCTTGCATTTCTTTCGGCAACTCACTTCGGTTGCGCGAGAAGAAGAAAGAGAGAGAGAGAGAGATTTTGTTTGTTATTTGTGCATGTTGAAAATCTATTGGTGTGCTTTACGTATGTTCTGCTTGTCGTCAACTTTTTTTCTAATAGTGATCGGACAGACTTAAAACGGCAACTCAAACAAGAGAAAACATCGAGATCGTCGAATATCAATCGAATGCAATTTGAAAAGTAGCAATGGCTGTGGATAATTCTAAGCACCTGTCTGGGATACAGAAGGTATTCTGAATGAATTGAATTTAACGTATCAACTCGCTGTTGCTTTATTTTAGGCCATTAATGATTTGGAAATTCATAAATCGAATAATGATCAGTAAGAAAGAAGAAAACAGATGTACTTGAAATTCTATAGATTTCTTGAGATTTGTACATTAAATCTAAGATTAGGAAAGAGTTTCTTGAAATTCCCGAGAATCATTGTAAATCTAAATGAACTGCTAGTAATCTTCGGAATTCGCTGACAATACTTTTCGGAGACTACTAAAAATCTCTAAAAATAAATGCATCACAGCCTTATAGAAAATCGGTTGAATGACGTTGATGAGTCGTTGTTTGAGAGATTATCAAGAATTTTCAAAGATTTTACAAACAGAAAAATGAGCCTTCTATTTTATCGGCAAGTAATATAGTACCAAGACTCAGTCCATAGTCGAATAGTGTAATTGTTTATATTGAAAAAGAGAATTAAGATTCCAAAAAAATCTGAATGAATATCAATGATTCTATTTGATTGTCTCTATAGAAAAATCGATTAATGTAATAGATTTATCGTTCGTATTGACGCTTTACATTTATTTATTCATGATTTCTATGTCTCGTTATTCTGATTAACAGAGAATTGACCAATCAATATGGCTACATAGCATTTAACAAGTCCAAAATAGAATCGACATCTCGACTGTCTCAATATATTCGTTTGGCTCTGACAACCGATGCTGAAAAAGTTGTTCGATTCATGCATCAAGGCTGGTGTTTGCCTACACCGGATTTGATCATTTCAGTAACGGGTGGTGCAAAGCACTTTGATATGTCACCACGTCTTCGGAACATCTTTCAAATGGGTCTAGTCGATGCTGCTGCTACCACAAGTAAACTATGACACGTTATTCTGTGAGTATTATCAGGAATGTAATTACTTTTTTAGACGCATGGATAATTACGACTGGAACAAATGCAGGTGTGGTTCAAGAAGTAGGCGAAGCTCTGAATAATTATCGATACATATGCAATAAGCAAGGTCTTGATATTCCTTGTATTGGCATCGGCAGTTGGAATTATACAGCGGACAATAAACAACTTGAAATAACGGTTAGATTTTATTCGCAAAAAACATTCACTTAAAATGATGTTCATCATATATATCGCACTGTGAAATTATTTAGAATCCCGCAAATTCTACACGTATTCAATCATACATAGTGAGAAAGTCACCGAAAGGAAAATGTCATTTGGAACCAAATCATACACATTTCCTGTTGTTTGATGACGGAAAAGATGATCCCAATAATGTTCTATCATTACGAGCCCGCATTGAAATGCGATCAAGAGATCCAAATTTAGCACCGCTATCCGATGTACATCAGATAGGATATAGATCCAAGACAGAAAATGGTATTAGATTGCAAGGCCTCATTACCACACAATCCACTCATACAAATACAATGCCGTTGTCACCTGTAGAACCAGTATGGGATACACCCATACCAATAGTCATGGTTCTTCTAGAAGGTGGTGCCTCTTCACTCAATACTGTTTCCAAGGCACTAAAAGAAAACACTCCGATTGTTGTTGTCAAAGTATGTATATTGAAGATTTTTTAAGAAAAGTAATCAGATACAATTTCACACAAAACTTTCGTAGGAATCTGGTCGTGCTGCTGATTTCGTCGCCTATTTGTACGAATACTTTTCGAATACCAATAATCATGCTACTGATAAGGAACAACATCCAACATCAACAACTAATAGTTGTGCGCAACGTCAACCATCAGATGACATGTCAGTATTATTCTACAGAGCAATAGGTAAAGTACATAGGGATCTTTGTGTTTAGATCGATAGAAATTCAAAAGACCCATACCTGGATCTTAGACATGAAACATCCGATTTCATCAAAAGATCTAAATGACTTCTATGATACAATACGCACACATAAAGAATTCGTGACAATTTTCAATTTCAACAGTGAACAGCATAATGGCAATCTTGAAGATGCGATTCTCGAAGCTGTACTCAATGGTAAGATACTTCTACTCACTGTTTATTGATTCGATGTCCTTGTGTATCTTCCTGAATAGCTGCCAAAGTATTCACTAATAAAAATAACAATTACAGTCAAACAGTCGAACTTAAATTGGCTATGGTAAACGCTTCTACAATCTTAATGATTAAAGTCTTTGTTTCCATTAGGCTTGGAACAAATTTGACTATGCTAAAAAGAAAATTCTAACAGATGCGATCATTTCAAAGTGGAAAGTGAGTTCCTTTCTTGTGAATACATTTTTTTCAATTGGTCATTTCTACCAATGATAGAAAGAAGATCTTCAACGTGCTCTCTTTGATGCTCTTCGACGTGGTCATGTTGATTTTGTTGAATTACTCATCGAATTGGGCGCATCTCCTGCGAAGTTAACCATTGATGATCTCGAACAACTCTATACATCATCATCTGTAAGTATTTAAACTCAGTTGAATTTGTTATATCCCAATTTAAATATTTTTTATAGATTGGATCAAGATTACCATGTAGTAAGAGAAAACGACGAGAAATCACAACAAGGAAAGATTTCTACAAGACGTATTTAATCGAAGAACCGGAAGTCAGTTATCTCATGAAGAATTTTTTTGATGCCTATTGACTTTCATTTTCTGGTTTCAGCTTGACAAAGACCAAAGCGCCAAGAATACTATATTAGGAGAACATGGTTCACGTGATCTCTTTATTTGGGCCATCTTTCTCGATCGAGTCGATCTTGCTACATATTTTTGTTCAAAAACATGGGTGAGGCTTACAAAGCAACATTCCCAGGTGTTCATTTGCTTTTGAGTCGAGACTGTGTGCATCATGTGAAGCCCAATGAGTTATCCATATCCTAAAAAAGTTCATCTCTTGTAGCTTTCTGATGCGGAGATATAGGACTTTTACTGTATTTTTTAGAAAAATCCGGTGACCCAGCTCAGGTCACAAAAAATTTGGATTTGAAATTTTGACTTAAAACTTTGCACCGGTAAAGATCAAAATGAGAGTAGTTTACGGTGAAAGTTTCAACCTTTTTCGTTGTTCCTATCCTGAGATATGACGTATTGTTCGTATACGCGGATCAATCTTTCCATATTCATACATCAGGATAGGATCAACGAAAGAGGATGACACGTTCACCATAAACTATTCTCATTGAGACCTGAACCCGTGTAAAGTTTTAAGCCAAAGTTCTAAATTCAAATTTTTCGTGACCTGAGAGGAACCACGTAATTTTGCTAAAAATACAGTAAAAGTCCTGTATCTCCGCAGCACAAAACTACGGGAGATGAACATTTTTATGATATGAATAACTTATTGGGTTCCACATGATGCACATAGTCTCGACTCAAAAGCGAATGAACACCTGGGAACGTTTCCTTGTTAGTGGAGAAAGATCGTCGCCAATTGTTGCATCATTCATCGGTTTTAGAATCCATTGATAGCTCCATTGATTGCTGCCTGGATCTATCAAAAAGCTAGAAGCAGCACACAAAATTCGGAACTAAAAGAAAAATACCATGCGCAAGTCGAGTAAAATTTGTGAACTCGTTTGCAATCAATCAATAATTCACATTGGTATTTCTTTTAGGACTTTTGATGCTTATGCAAGATCAATTATTGATCATTGCTTTGACAATAACAAAATGTTTGCACTTAAACTTCTCAGGGGTCCGATTGCGACTTTTTACAATGCCCATCCATTGAAACGTGCACGCGAGGCTAATTGTCGAAAATTTATGGCATCACCATGTGTTCAAAGATATCTGGATAACTTATGGTAAGATCTTCCATATTTGACACGGAAAAACTATTCTGTTTAAAAAAACGTTACATGAATTTCGGAGTTCTTTCTTTGTCACAATCTTCATAATGAACATAACTTATGTGTTTTGAGACTCTTCCATGTCGAAATCTCAATATAAGACTATATATACAGGTTTGGCCATATCAATCATCGACTCGAGTGGATCGACTTTCGAGTAAATATTTCAATGTGCTTTTTCCTATGGAAAATGTAAAGAAGTTCTATTATTTAGATTTTTCTCTGTACACTATTTCTTCCGCTTCTTCCATTTGGATCCGTCTTCTTGCCCTACGTGAGAAAATTGAACACGGTACTTCACATCAAAATTCATATTATCATTCTGATATTCTTATTTCGTTTTCGTATTTTCAGTCTTCTACAACTGTACAGCCTTCGTTAAGCACAAATGTTGATGCTAACACCGTCTCAACAGAGTTGTAAGAATGTCGAATATCGATCATACTTGTGTTGATTTCTCTTTAATAAGTCAAGACTTGATAAACCAGTTCAAATTCGTAGTGTTCAATGGTACCAAAAGATAGGCTACTTTTATGCAGCGCCGATCGTTCGATTTTATTACAATGCGGTACGTGGATTGTATTGAATAAAATGACCAGGATATTAATAAATGCAATTTTGATTGGTCTGTTTAAGATATTTTTCATCTTATTTCTTGGCCTATTCAGTTATGTTTATCTTGTCGACTACTTCCCGCTGAATATTTATCATGAAACTCGATCAGGCTATTACAATTTACTCGTGCCTATTCCAGAAATTATGCTTCATATATGTTTGTGGAGTGTGATTTGTGAGGAGACATATCAAGTGAGAAATGAATCATATAATTTCTTGTTCATATATTCCAGATGTATCATTTCTGTTTTAGGTAGTTCATAAGACGCTCAAAGGCAACTTCATTACCGACTTGTGGAATATACTTGCCCTTGTAGCAATTGGCCTATATATTATCGGTTTCATTACACGATTCATAGTTTCTGAAGCAGTATTCATTGTTTCAAAGTAATTTATAATTCTTACTGAAAGAGAATGACTCTCAAAATTCGATATTTTTCTTTGTTCCAGAATTTTCATGGGCCTTGACCTAATCGTTTGGTATATTCGAATTCTTCATCTATTCGCCGCTTACGAACGACTCGGTCCGAAATTGGAAATGATCTTCAAAACGGTTTATATTTTTTTTCCTTTGTTAACTGCATACGTTCATATTGTTTTTAGATGAAAGATTTACTGTTCTTTGTGTGTTTCATTGTCATCTTTCTACTCGGCTTTTCCATCACATCCTGGTCACTTATCAATACTACGTCGCAAGTCAACTGGACCTATACTGGAGATGGACAGCTAGCTTATGTGACTACAAGCAGTGCTGATAATAATCTAAAATCGTGGGAAATACTGCGAAACGTAATCAATTATGGTGTCTGGAAAATATTTGGACAAGTAGATCTAATCAGTAAGATTCTAGTAATTTGCAGTTATTTAGATGAGTTTTTCTCGTCTTTTAGCTGGTACCGACGTCTATTCTAATGTATCCTTCGTTCTGGCCATTATCTTTGTTACAATTGCTAATGTTCTTCTACTTAATGTGCTTGTAGCTTTGTTCAAGTATGAAAGTGATTTTTTCTTTCATGATATATTCTTCGATATCTCTCATTTATAGCGTGACTATCCAACGTGTTGCCCAGCAATCATATGTTTTATGGTGTTACCAACGATTTTTGCTTGTTGATGAATATAGGAGACGATCTCCATTGCCACCTCCATTCAACATCTTTTACTATATTATAATCGCCGCCCGATATTCTTTCCAACGAATATCATATTGTAAAAAGCGACATATAAAAGGTATCAAGTCTTACTTATCGTGGGGAATATGAATTTCCAGAACATCGAAGACAAAACAATGAATGTCTAAGAAATTCGTCAGAAGCAGGCTTCGCCGTCTTTTCTATAATTTCTCCAAACTATCTGACCGTTTCGAGATAATTTGGACGAGGTAGATTTTTGAAAGAAAACGTTTTACTGGCTTTCTCCTGGTTTTCTGTGGGCTTCGCACTGCATAACGTGTCGTGGAAAGTTGATTTATTTTGAGGGAGCAAATAAGCACAAGACCGCGAACACTGCTGATGTTTGTGGATTTCCTAAATATTCAAGTAGACGAGTTTCAATGTCCACGGAAAATTGAATTGTCCTTTGATTCAGTTCTTGTCTCTCAGTCACTATTTAATTTCGTTGTAGTTTCGATCCATGACACAGTACAGAGCATAAAAATAGATGTTGATACTGGTACTGATTCTCAATCAA